AATGTAGGTTCGAATTTTTTAACACCCAAAAATAGGAAATGTTTTCTGTCCTCATTCCAAGAGCACGCAGAAAATGTACCAAAAAAAAATATATAAAGCACGCAGAAACAAAAAAGTCTAAAAAGAAGTTATACTCAGACCAAAATAATTCTAGAAAGAGGAAAAAAAAAAAAGAAAAACAATCTAGAACCTAAGCCACCTGTATTTCTTGCCGGCCAACCCACGGCTCGAGCCGTTGAATTGAATGAATGTTCAATGGCGAACAAACCGATAACCCATTACCCAATCACGCACCTTTTCTTTCTCCCCAAGACTTTCCTGTTCCATTGAAATTCACAAGCCACCTAGCGCGTGGATGCGTCACCCCTTACATTTTCCGTAAATCTGCGGGTAAACAGTAAACCCGGATTCTTTAACCCCGAAAAATCAACGGCTCCGACCTACCTTTCCGGCTTTTCTTTTTTCCCAAGACAAAAAAAAAAAAAAAAAAAAAAAATGGTCTCGATCCGTCACGTGACTTTCCACCCACTTGCTCTCTTTCTCTCTCTCCTTTCAATAAAGACCCTGCTCCTTGCGCTCTCCGCTAGGTCTCATCAAAACACTTTCTGCTCTCTACTACTGCTTCGTTTGAATCTAATTTTTTTATCGCTATCGTCGTCATGGGTAATCACCAAAATCCGAAGCAATATCTGGGTTGATTTCGTTTCCCTGTTTTGTTCTCGTTTTTTGATCTGGGTTTCTCGATGTCTGTAGGTTCTGGGAAGAAGATCAAGATCGGAATCAATGGTGAGAGTCTGATACTTGGTTAGATTTGGTTTTTGGGTTTGTTAGATTCTGAAGTGACAGAGTTGAAATTTAATTTCAGGATTTGGAAGAATCGGCCGTTTGGTTGCTAGGGTTGCCCTTCAGAGGAACGATGTTGAGCTTGTTGCTGTTAACGATCCGTTCATCTCTGTTGATTACATGGTGAGTGAGATCGTTTAGTTTTGGTTTTGATTCTGGGTTTAAGTGATTTGTAGAGATTTTGGGTTTTGTTTTTTCTTGGTCTTACTGCGATGGTGGTGTTTGGATAATGCAGACTTATATGTTCAAGTACGACAGTGTTCACGGTCAGTGGAAGCACCATGAATTGAAGGTCAAGGATGAAAAGACCCTTCTCTTCGGCGAGAGGCCCGTCAGAGTTTTTGGAATTAGGTAAATGTTTTAATCCCAGTTTCATTTTGGGTTTAACATCTGAGTTTTCTGGTTTTGGGGGTTTTTTAAGCTTTTTAATTTTGTTTTTTAGGAACCCGGAGGATATCCCATGGGCTGAGACCGGAGCTGAGTTCGTTGTTGAGTCTACTGGTGTGTTCACCGATAAGGACAAGGCTGCTGCTCACTTGAAGGTCTGTTCCCCGTTCTTAGAAATTTTCTTTTCTTACCTTTTCCTTTTTTGATTTATTTTATCTTGTATGATTTGATGGGTCTATCTGCTGAAGTTTGACTGGATTAGTATATGTGTTTCTGAAGTATTAGCATTTCCTGTATTTTCTTGTGCAAAATTTAGATGAATCCTTCCTAAGATGTCTTGTAGATGGTAGAATTCTCTTATATTGTTACTCTGAATTTGATTTGTGGGTCTGGGAAAAACAAGTGAATGTTGCAACTAGGATTGATTAGATTCTTTTTGGTTGTTCAGGGTGGCGCAAAAAAGGTTGTCATCTCTGCTCCTAGCAAGGATGCACCCATGTTTGTTGTTGGTGTGAACGAGAAGGAATACAAGCCAGAACTTGATATTGTTTCCAACGCTAGCTGCACCACCAACTGCCTTGCTCCCCTTGCTAAGGTTTGTATTTTTTGCCTTTTTTTTAAAAAAAAAAAAATACTATGCGTGCAGAGTAATCATAGGATTGAATGTTGATGCTTATGTTTTCTAGTTGACTTTTACAGGTTATCCATGACAGGTTTGGCATTGTTGAGGGTCTTATGACCACAGTCCACTCAATCACCGGTAAGTTGTTTCTGCCTTTTTATACAGGGTTTAGTTAGATATAGTGGTTACTCATGTCTCATTTTTTTCCCTTGTTTTCAGCCACACAGAAGACTGTTGATGGACCATCAATGAAGGACTGGAGAGGTGGCAGAGCCGCTTCCTTCAACATCATTCCTAGTAGCACTGGTGCTGCCAAGGTATGCTCATTAGGGTAGATTTTTCTTTCTATTTGCAGTATTCAAATGTTTTATTTTGGTGGAACAGATCATTTTATTGTATTGAACCACAACCAATTCTCTTCTAATCTTATTGTTATGCTTTGTGATTATGCAGGCAGTTGGAAAAGTTCTTCCTGCCCTTAATGGTAAATTGACTGGAATGTCCTTCCGTGTTCCAACTGTGGATGTTTCAGTTGTTGATCTCACAGTTAGGCTTCAGAAGGATGCAACTTATGAGGACATCAAATGTGCTATCAAGTGAGTGCATATATAGTTATTCCCCCAGATTTTGATATGCTATTTTGTTTCTTGTGTCCTGTTACGTGTTTGTCATTTGGTTTGATCCTCATTCATGCTCTTATGATCCACAGGGAGGAGTCTGAGGGCAAGCTTAAGGGAATTTTGGGCTACACTGAAGAAGATGTTGTGTCCACAGACTTTGTTGGTGACAGCAGGTAAATCAATACAGGAATTTCCCATGCATCTTTAAGCTACTCTTTTTTATCTGTGGCGGTGAATCTTATAGACCATAATTTAAGAAAGAGCCTAATATATGTTAAATCTATTCTGGGTAATTCTTATTTGCAGAATTTTCCTAATCTGAAAGTTTTCTTCTGATGCAGGTCAAGCATTTTTGATGCCAAGGCTGGTATTGCTTTGAACAAAAACTTTGTCAAACTTGTCTCCTGGTATGACAATGAGTGGGGTTACAGGTAATTTCAGCCAGAACGTCACATTAACTTGGAATCCATTGATTGCACCTTCTAAAGTTCTATCAAGCTGCAGTTATATGACCTAAATCTGTCTTTCTATGCAGCTCCCGTGTGGTTGACTTGATTGTCCATATGGCTTCTGTCCAAGCTTGTAGCTAGACTGCTTCAAGGCGACTTACATTTTCATGCATGAGTCTGAGTTTTAGACTTTATGTTTCCGAATGTTCTGCAGTTCGAATAAAACATGCATGACTGTTTATGTTTTTTCATGTCTGTCTAATGTTTCCGTGCTGTTTTTGCCTTGATATCAAAGTTGTAGGGGAACAAATTTTACCAGTTCAATCGAAGTAAAAACGATGGTTCTATTCATCTATGAGATGTTTTATACTTTTGTTATTCTTTCCTTGATCTGATGGTGTCGTGTTTATTTTTCTTGTCTGTCTCCCTGCTGGTGGTAGTGGCAATATATGAACACTGGTCTTGTGTAGAATTTATGTAGCTATTTGTAAGGCATGAATGCTTTGATAAGAGGGGGGCTAAGACCCTAACCAGTGGCGTTGGGCTTAATGCGTAAAATAATTAAGTTAGGGCTTAATTAGCCACATTCCTTTACATCTAACCATACATGGACCAGGGAGGTGTGTGAAGTGTGAACGGTTCTGTTGCTTGTGCTTGATTCGTTTCCGGGTACTGTTTTATACCTTCTCTCATTATGTCAAACAACTATTTGCACCATTCACTTGGCCAGCGCAGATTTATGCTATTCAAAATCAATTACTAAGTTTCAGATTTATGCCATTCAAAATAAATTTTAAGGATTTATTTTATGTACGAGTTTTATATATTTTATTTATATAAAATTTTAATAATTTATTTATTTATTTTTAATGAATGATATTTATTTATATTTATTCAAAATAATTATTATTTTTATCTAAAAAGTTATACTAAATTTCATAAATAAATAATGAAAAATCTATACAAATATCGTGGGTAAAATTTCTGTATGACTTATTTGTAAGTAAGATTTAAATGAGATTAAATTTAAAGCGAAATCAAGATTAAATTTAAAGCAAAAACTGAAATGAAAAAATAATAAATGAGATGATTCCATTCATCGAAACTACTAAATATTAGTTTTGACTCTAATAAAAAATTAAAATTTCAACCTTAAAAGATGTAGTTTTATTTAATTAAAATTTAATTAAAAATTTAAAAATTTACTTTATTAATATTGATATTGAATTTAAAATTAATTATATATTTTTATATATTCAATTTAGTTTTCAAATTTAGGTATTACATTAATAAAAATAAATTTTTAAAATTTGAATTAAATTTGAATTAAATGAAACAAAGTTAGCATAAATAATAATTAACATCCACTATTCTCTTATTCATATTAGGTGCATTAAGCTTTAAAGAAAAAAAAAAAAAAGAAGAAGAAAAGAAAAGAAAAGAAAAGAAACAATTCTAGTCATTTTAGGTGTATTATCCTTTAAAGGATGAGAGAATAAGTAGGAAAACAGCAACTTTAGAGTTGGCAATATATGGAAATAAATTTATCACATCAATTATGGTATTGTAGATATAATCTACTAATTAACTCAATATTACAATCAAATATAGACCTAATCTAATCTTATGCTCTGCCAATTAATTTAATATTGAACACAATCACAAGTGCTTTAAGAAAATCTGAAAGGGGACAATTAAGTGCATGGAGGAGGAGGACCACATAACCGAAAGCCTAACTCACTGGACTTGGGCTTGTGCTTCTATAAAGGGCTTGCCGGCTTAAAGCCCTGGTTGAAAACCCTTGGATTGGGGTGTGCAGCAAGAAAAGGAAAAAATAAGTGAATGAAAGTATTCTCTTTTAAAGTTTTTTATTTTGGTTTGAAAATTAAGTTTAAGTTTTTTTATTCCTATTAATATAAATAGCTGTAGAAATTTAAATTTTTAGAGGATTTTTCTACCATAAAAGTTTAAATACTAAAATTATTTTATCAAAAACTTAATTAGGTTTTAAAGATTTTTTTTTTATTAGAGGAATTTTACATTTAGCTTCTTTTGTTGCTTTATTGAGGATAGTTGTAAGATATACTCAACAAGAAGACGCGCATTATTGAAATATTGACTTTCTTAACCTTCGATAGAATTATAAAAATTTTAGATGGATTGAAAGAGGATAAAATTAAAGCTAGAATTTTTTAGCCAAGAGCTGGCCCTCCAAAACCCATTATCATTAACATCAGTGATTCTCTCAAAATAAGATGGAGCACCCATAACATTCATGGAAGATTATTATTATTATTATTATTATTTTACATTAGATGATAAGTTATATTATAAAAGATAATTTTTTTTTCTTAAATCTCTCTTTAATCATCTCAAAATTTAAACTTCATATTTCTAATATGAAAATTCAACCTCTTAATAAGTGAGATGTTCCATAGGAGACACACTTATGGAAGATTATTTTTGGTCTTCCATACAAACAAAACAAGATCAACTCAAGTCAGATATATTTTATAATATAAAAATAAATTTTTTTTAACCTTTACCTTATGGACATAGATTAAGCATATATTAATTATATTTTATTACAATAAATTTTTAAAAAAATGTAAAAGTAGATGTTATTTTTATAACTGAAGTCAATTTTATTTTTAATTGGATAATTAATAAATTTAAAATCAACTTTTATTATTTTCATATAAATTTATTGTAAAAAAGTGTAATTAATATAGGCTTAACTTGTGTCCTTAGATAAGCCCTATTTAAATTATGAGTTTTTCTAATATGTATTTTTAAGGGTATATTTAATGTATCTTTTCACTATTAATTTGTATGAAAAATTACAAAAGTAAAATTTTACAACTTGAAATGATTTAATTAGATGATTCATAAAATTAAAATCAATTTTATGTAAATTAATGATAAAAATGTATAATAAATATACTCTTAATTTATATTATAAAGACATACGATCAAGGTTTTTAAAACCGGACCGGACCGGCCGGTTGAACCGGTCGGATCGGTATCCGGTGATGAAAACGGTTCGGTTCGTATGAGAAAATCGTTTGAGGTCAAAATCGGTCAAAACCGGTCAAAAATCGGTAAAAATCGGTAAAAACCGGTAAAAACAGGTGAAAACCGGTAAAAACCGATAGAACCGGTGGAACCAGAAAACTTTCGATTCAATTTCTCATGCAATCTTCTTTCAATTTTTTCCAATTTCACCCTTCCCATTCCTTTCTTATACCCATTTTAACTTTTAACTTTAATAAAATTACAAAATTATCAACACCAAATTAAAAAATCCATGCCTACACTTCCTCCTCTCATCAAACCTTCTTTATTGTTTGGACCGACCGGTTCACCGGTTCAACCGGTTGAACCGGTCAAACTGGGAACCGGACCTGAAAACGGTTCAATGACCGGTCCGGTTTTGAAAACCTTGCATACGATAATTAAAAACTCTTAAATTATTTAAAAAGAAAAATTGATGTTACTGTATATAACAAGGACTAAGTGTGATAAGTAAAGTGGGAACAACTTAAATCAAAGTAATTTTAAATTTGTTTTGAAGACATTAAAAAATGTAATATGCTGACATCGCTCAGGCACTCCAAGAAACGGGAATACAAGCAAACCCTCGAGATTACCTCTCTTTCTTCGTCTTGGCAACAGAGAATGAAAGAGCTCCTTTTCTTTTCTTGTTTGTTTTACATGTTTTTCTTTATAGTTGAAACTTTCTCCTTGGAATTCATACCATGTTCGTTTGTCATACTCGTTTTTAACCTTATTGATCAATAATCTGCTATTGGAAGTTTTTCTATGAATCGCTGTGTTTAATGTTCATTTGTTTAAAGTAGTTTGTATTTGCTTTTAATAGAATCATGGTAGAAAGAGTTTTGTGTTCATCTAATTTAAATTTATTCAGTTGAATTCTGTATCCAAGAAATGCTTGGCCATTTTTTGGCTCCAATCGTGATGATCTTGGTGATAATCTTGTTTGATTGTTCGTTTATAACTTTACAGTGAAAAGGAAGCTACTGCATTTTGAATAAGGAAAAAAAAAGGGAATTGGTTCTGCATTTTGAATAAGGAACAAAAAAGGGAATTGGTTTAGTGATTTTTATTGTTTTATTTTATTTCGTTTTATTATCTTTAGAATCATATGCACTAGGGATAAAACATATTAATCCATGCAAGCCAAGCTACTAAACATATTATATCTTTGATAGAATCATTGATTTTTGGTGATCATATCTTTTTTTCAATTTTGTTATAATTTTAATGAATTTTTAATTGTTAAATATTTAACCTTTAATCTCTTATGGAGATGATGACAAAGGAGTAAGATTGCTTTTGCATGATATTACAAGGATACTTGATTTTCTTCAACAATTATTTCTCCAAGATGATTTGCAATCAAATGGATTTTAGCACCGGGTGTTCATGACAAGTAATTTGAGCTCATTACATCAAAGACAGCAAATTCAAGTTTTGTCAAAATTAACATTTGATTACAAAAATTTGTCAAATGTTAATATAATGCAAAAACAAATTGAAACTAGAAAACAAAGGTTTACCTTAATATCTTACCATGAATTGGACAGTGGAGAAAATCCGTGCAGACAACATATTATGAAATAAAGAAAAAATGATAGTAAAATAGCAAAGCTTTGTAATGAACTTCTTATTTCATCAACTATTATCATACAAAATTGTAGGCCTAGATATATGCCAAAGGAAAATAGGGATTACATTAGCTATTGAAATAGAACTAAGTGGCATCATGAATACCCGAAAGTGGAGCTATGAATAACCCATAGTGAAGCCATGAATGGTAAGTGGAAATTGGTTACAAATGGAAGATTGATGATGAAGATAAAGTTAAAACATCCACCAATAGAAAAATTCACAATACTCTCCTTTGGGTATTTGTTATCAGCACAAGGTCAAAAGGAATCTTTTTTATATCAAGAGATTAAACAACTATTCGTGTGCTTAAATGGTAAGGTTTGCCCATATTAAATGTTTTCAATATTTTTTCACATAATTTAATTGATAAACAAAAGTTTCATTTGATAAGTGTTTGATCTATAGATTAAGACAAACTTGTGTTCTTTAATGCATAAATCTATATGCTTATAATTCCTTTAAATGTTAGGTATAATATTTAAAGACGTTAGTATATTAATAATAGTGTCACATAAGGCAATTAAAAAATGCATGGCTAATATAAGAGCTATAAATATGAAAAATGATTAAGAGATAATTTTTTATACAATTTTTTTGTATAATTGTGACATCCCGAATCCTATATCAATGGAGAATTATAAATGAGTGTAACTTTA